ATTTTAGAGCAGGCTTTTATGTAATATTTACTGTGATTTTTATTATTGCCTGTTCACCGCCCTGAGTCCCGTAAGGGAGATAGGGCGGTATATAAATTTAAATAATAATAATAATAATAATAATAATAATAATAATAATAATAATAATAATAATAATAATAATAATAATAATAATAATAATAATAATAATAATAATAATCCAATAAGCCAAGATCATCAGTCAGCCAAAAATTATAATCCTCAAGGCCCCACTATTCCAAGTTAATAATCCACAAGACCTCTTCCAAAGAGAATAACCAAATGTCAATTTTTTTCTGTCTCTGAATAGTTCTTAATATTGCAGCTCAAGCGAAGTTTATAATCCAGGAAAGCCAGCTGGCTTCAAAGTAGCTTTTATGTTTATAGCCCATCCAGCAGAAAAACAGCCCCAAGAGTTCCTCCTCTTTCCCAGCTGTAACCTACAAGGCTGAGAAGTTCGGGCACATCAAGAGCCGAGCTTGCTATCTCTGTCTAGGCTTCAAGCCAAGGTCATTCTTTCCAAACAAGGTACAGAGCAAAAAAAAAGAAAAAAAAGAAAAGTCTTAGTGTTGTTCTTCTTTTCCACCACTAGATGTCATTAAAGATCTATCTTTCAACCAGGACTTATTTCTCAACCAGGACTGATTTCAAAATCATTATATAAGAAATGCCTTACTTCTGACATGGGAAAAGATAAAAATGAAAATCTGTATGAAAATACCAGGATGGATCTCGACAATGGAAGCATTTGTGCACCCAAATTTAATCAACTATGAGAAACTTGTGACATACAGAGACATTTTGAATACTGATGGGCAATTACAAACTAAACAAGAATTGGAAGAACAGGGCATTGAGCTAATTATAGCCACACTTGCAAATGCAAGTGAGATATGAAAAAGATCAAACAGTCTTTGACCAGATACTATTGTCACCAGATGAAAAATTGATTAAAAAACTCTATAAATTTTTGTTAAATCTAATGATGGAAGATGAATAAGTTAAAGAAACAATGATAACTTGGGCAAAAAAATTTGGGCACAATGTAGAATTAGAAAAATGGCAAAATTTGTGGGAAAGAAACTATAAAATAACAAGGGCAGCTACTTACAAAGAAAACGTATATAAAATGTTTTATAGATGGCATTTACCACCTGCAAGATTAGCAAAAATGTTTAAAAATATGTCTAGTAACTGTTGGAAATGTAGGCAAAAGCCAGGCATGTGCTATCATCATGCCCTAACCTAAAGCAAAAAAGAATTGGTCAAAAATACACATTTGGTTACAGAACATGTTAAGAAAACATGTAGATTTTAAGCCAGAACTATTTCTTCTAGGTATAATTACAGAGAACTATGACCAAAAATGTATATATTTAATATTTGTATTAACAGCAGCGAGAATTACATTTGCACCGTATTGGAAAAACTAAGAAACACCATCAGATGAAGATATAATTAGGAAAATTTTGGATTGTGCAGAAATGGATAGGCTTACATTGAAAATGAAAGGGAAAGAAGATATAGAATATTTTTAAACATGGGATAATTTTTATAAATGGCTAGAAAAGCGGAATCGAGAGTAGAAATGGAAGTTGTATTAATATCAATGTTAAATATGTGAACCCAGACAACACGTTGTTTATTAAGCACTAAAGATTTGTAAGTATAAAAACTTAATACAATATCTATTTAAAAAAACCTGTCCAGTATGGTCCCTGCTGTCCCGAGGGGCATCCCGCAAGGGGCAACGGCTTGACGAGGGGTGGTAATCCATTTTACAACTTCTGTTTCTGGTGAATGTGATGCAAGAGCCCCTTGGCCAAAGCTTCGCAGTAGGCAGATGTGGAACTTTTGTAGGCCTTTGTGGAACCTTTGAGATGAAAGGAAGGAATGAAGAATATAATGGAACAAGCCAGATTAGGGAGGAGGAGGAGGAACAGCGGTCTTTGGGAAGAAAGTCCACTTATGTATTGAAATCTATGGATCTGAGCACAAGAACATCCAAGGCAGAAGAGAGAGGAGGGAAGAAACAAATCAATTAATTGTGGCAATGTGCTACAGGACCCGATTACAAAACTCCCAGGGAGGAGAGACTTGGGAAACTGGGAAACTCCAGTTCTTGGGAACCCTTGCTGGACAATTAGCTCAGACAATAGGGCCAGATCTCCCTCGGTGGTCCTGCTGCCGGTTTCACTTTCCAGAAGGCTGAAGAAGGAACGAGGGGGTGGATTGGGACTCCTGGCTCTGATCCCGCTGCCTGGGGTGGGAGAAAGAGATCAAGGACACTGGGCTTCAGGACAGCCAGTTTCAGGAAGCTTAAGGAAGTCCTGGATGTCCATGGGTAAAAAAGTCCTGGAAGTCCATGGGTAAAAAAAATCAGGAGGGATGGGAATTTCTCAAGCAGAAGGAAATAAAGTGCAATCACACATCTTTCCAGGAGAAGAAAGACAGGCTAGAGACACATTCTGGGTGCATCAGGAACACTTAATTAAGTTACAAGTCAAGAGGAAGTTACGAGTTGCTTAAAAGTTGAAAGAAAAGATTAACAGGAAGTGGAAGACGGGTGCAACTTCCAAGAAAGCAAATAGTCTCTAATATCTGCAGAGAGTTAGGAAAATTGAAGATTGCAAGAAAGCTAAAAGTAACATTTACTCCCAGTTCCTGTAGCAAAAAGAAAACAAAGATAGCTGGGTTTGCTACTGGTAGAAGATGATAAAGGAGGGGGATGGTAAAGGTGGGCTCCGGGGGTGTGTGTGTGTTTCAATTTGTTTCTTTGCGTGCATTTTGCTTCAGATCTTGCCTGACTGCATTCAGTTCTTTCCTAGTAAAAGTACCTTTTCTCTCAGTCTATGGAGCCAAAGGTTTTTCTTTCCTAGGGATTGAGCGGAGGCAGCCCTGACAGGTACTAAGGCTTCCAAAAAGTAGAGAAGGGAACTAGGGGATTAGCCATTTTGGACCTAATTCTCACTAAAAGAGTTGAAATGATAGAAGGTGTTGAAACCATAGGAACCTTGGGAGGAAGTGATCATGCAATATTGGAATTCAACATTATGCAAGCACAAGCAATAGAACAGAGTCAAACTAGAGTCTTGGACTTCAAGAGAGCTAATTTCAATAAACTTAGAGAGGGCTCGGGAAGGATTCCATGGATGAGAATCCTCAAGGGGAAAACAACTCAAGAAGCTTGGGAAATTTTGAAAAGTGAGATAATAAAGGCCCAGTCTAGCACAATACCAACAAAGAGGAAAAATAACAGCTCTCAAAAGAAACCAGCATGGCTGCATAAAGAACTCTCTGATCAATTGAAAGATAAAAAGTCTGTCAAGATCTTTTTGGATCCTGAGCTTGTCTTCTGGGGTGTTGGCTACTCCTGCCAGCTTACTGCCATCTGCAAACTTGATGAGTTCCCCTTCTATTCCCTCATCTAAGTCATTTATGAAGATATTGAAGATGGAGCCTTGTGGCACCCACTGCTTACCTCCCTCCGTATAGATGCAGTTCCATTAAGGACGACTTGTTGAGTACAGTTTGTCAGCCAGTTACAAATCTATCTGGTTGTGATGCTGTCTAGTAGACTTTTTGACAAAGATTTTTCCAAAACTGTTCAGGTTGCTGCATTCTGGACTAATAACAGCTTTTTGGATACTCTTCAAAGGCTGCCCCGTGTAGTGCGTGTTGAAATAAACCAAACACGAGATGACCAGGGCATTAGTGATTGTGCACTGGGCCTCATGATAAAAAAAAAGGTACAATTGGTACAAAACACAAAGTTGTACAAACGGTTTCTTAGCCACGACAGCCACCCGTTCCTTGAGCAGGAGTCAGGAGGTCTAGGAGTCTAGGAGAACTCCCGAAGGAGAATATAAAATAGAATAAGGTCCTAGAAGGCAGCATTTTAAATATTAAGCAAAAATCAAGGACACAGGGACATAACCTCAGACTGGCAGGAGAGAAGTTCAAAAGCCACGTCAGAAAGGGTGACTTCACAGAAAGAGTAGTGGAAGCTTGGAACCAACTTCCAGACGTAACTGAGTTTAAACACGTTTGGGATTTCCCTGCAGTCAGTTTCCTATGTTTCTAAGTAAATTTTGCATTGGGTCTGTCTGGGGCAGTGCAGTCCCACCCAGGACTAAGGGTAAGAAATCTTCGGATCCCAAGACTCCACGTATTCACAGCCGTTCCACCTTGCCAGGGTTCAGTTGAAGCCTGCTGTCCCCCATCCAGCCCCCCCCACAGCCCCCCCCAGGGCCCATGAAAGGGCAGCCACAGCAACACCAGGGGTGGAGAGGCAGAGCTAAGCATCAGCAACGACACACACACACACACACACACACACGGTGTCACATGATCTCATCCGGTGGCTTCACATAGATTGTGAGTGCACTGCCCCCCCCCCGGTGCCCCACAGAGGAGTGGCCATGGGCCGGGCCTCTCGCCCCCTATCCACACAGACTGGAACTAGCCACAGAGAGAGGAATCGAACCGTTGCAACCCTGCACGGCCCAGTCCCAAATCCTCCAGACAGCCCGAAATGGCCGATGGCATCTAAAGTCACTGAGAGGTCAAGGAGAGAGAGGATGGACCAGCTACCCCATCCCGCTCCTCTCATCAGGGATGATCAACAAGGGATGACCAATGCCGTTTTTGTCCGTACCCAGGCCGGCATCCTGGCTGGCAGGGGTCCAGGCAATCTATTTCATCCAGGATCTTCTGGAACTGTCAAGCAACAACTCTTTGGACAAAACTGGATGACGGCCGTCCTGCAGGGTGAGGGTCTAATGTTGGCTTCCACCACCAACCCCTCCTGACATGTTGTATTAGTCATTAATCAATCATTGTTACCATTATTATCCCTCTGATCAATGCCTCACTTTGTCTTACTCAGGCTAGAAAGAAGATGCTTGCGAAGGGCAGGTGTCAACTGGTCCAGATCCAACTAGGCGGAAGAGAGGCCGGTCTTTGCCCTGCCAGCCGCTCTGCCTCCCATCCCAGCCACGTTTCCCTCTGTGCCCATGCAGCCCTTGACAAAGGAGGTCCGGGGGGGGGGGAAACTGAAGAAGCGTCCTTCCCCTCACATTACCCACAAAATGCAGTAGTTGTTTGGCAACAGACGGGCTTTGTAAGGAGAGCAGCCTGGATGAATCTGAGCAGGAAGGAGGCAACGGGGGGGGGGGGGTAGACTTTGAACTCAGGGTGGGTCTTTGATAAGGAAGGCACAAGATTGTGCTTCTGCAGATACGACACTGTCATTCAGCAGGGTGAATTAAATCTGGGGACTCAGCAGCGATGCCAAGAGTTTACAAGGCTTTGATGAAGCCCAGGTTTTGGGGGAAAAACCACGAAAGGTTTGGGCTTCACCTGACAAAAGGCCCAGCCGCCGCCAGGGAAATGATAAGCAATGTTCAACTTTTGAAGCGTTTCCTAAACTTGCAACTTCCTGAGGAAATTATGGCTGCTGAGGGTCTCCCCCCCCCAGGTACAGAAAAGCAGGGGTCCTTAAGCTTGTCTGGCGGCTGCAACACGGCAGCAGGCACGACCTCTTCGAGTGAAGTAGCAGGCAGACCCAGAGCCCAGTGAATGGAAAAGGGCCAGGGCCTTCCTTGCCCCCTCCCCCCCCCAAGACTCTGAAGCTGCAAGCCCTCCTTTCCCCATTAAAGGCTAAGCCACACTGGGGTGGGGTGGGGGTGCTGCTGTAGAGCTTGACAGAAGCACAAAGCTGGGGGGGTCACGGAGGGAGGGCTATTGCAAGAGGACAAGGGGGGGGGGAGGCAGGGGAACGACTTTTCTTCCCAGTTGTCCAGAGTGCTGAGGACTGTCCCGTCCAAAGAAGAGAGGGTGGAATAGGGGCAGATTGGCATCAAAAGTGGCTGGCAGAGACCTGGCCTGGCCTGAAACCCCCATTCCACCCTCTCTTCTTCTCCGAAAAAAAGGGGGGGGGTCTGAGCAGGTGACCCCCATCGTTGCCACCCTCCTTCCCACCTGCCCATACCTGTGGGAGCTCCATGGAGGCTACTGCTTCTGTGGTGGGTGGCCGTGCCAGGACTGCCGGCTGCTCCCCTGGCCCGCTGTAACCTCTCCCCCAGGTTCCCCCCCCACACATTCCAGGAAGGCTCGTTTTGGACCTGCCCCCTTCCAGCTCCAGGAGGGGGAAAGCCCAAGCAGCTCCCCGGTCAGCCCTTCCCTGTTCTGGCTGCTGTCAGGGGGAGGGCAAAGGGAGAGCTTGGTCCCCGGGCCCTTCAGACTCTCCCACCCAAATGCCCGAGTCTGAGGCCGGGGTGGGGGACAGAGCCCAACTCAGCAGCAGCACCCCCTCCCCATTCACTCTCCCCATACGTCCCCGCCCCATTCTGTTCCGCAAGCCAGAAATGCCCAGAATTGCGCAAGAGGTCCGTGCTGTCACTCAGAAGTTTTCTCTTTGGGCTGAAAGAGGGAAGTCCCGAACCAGCAGCAGGGAGGAAGGAAGGAAGGAAGGAAGGAAGGAAGGAAGGAAAGAAGACACATCAGCAATATCAGGCACCACTGGCCTTTTCCCTCCCCATCTACTCCCCCTGACCCTCCCCCCCCCACTCCTTTGTGTTCCTTTGCCTCCCCTTCTCAGGAATGCAACTTAGAACCCCTGATTTTTTTCAAACAAAACTGGGTCATACTCAAAACTATGGATTTTAGGAAGGCAAATTTTAATAAACTAAGCGAAACCTTAAGAGAGCCAAGTTGAGACTTTTAGAAAAGGGAGTTAAGGATGGCATCACATCAGACGATGTGTCAGTGAAGAAGAAAATCGTCTAAAGAAGGTAAAGTGGTCGGACAAGCAGCTTCCCAGAAGGAAACTGGGACCAAGGAGAGATGCTTAATGAAAATGCGAGGGAGGCCCTACAAAAAAGACACCTGCAANAAGGTTGGCGAGAGAGGCAAACTTTAGGAAGACGAATTCCTGGCAAGAAAACGCCCGTGGAGGCGATGGGCCTATGGCTGATTTTATATGGCGAAATTTGAGTAAGGGACCAGGAGAAACCAGGAGGACCCAAATGCTGTCCTGTCTCTGTGGAAATGGTGATTTCGGGAACAGGGCAGGGAGGAAGACAAAGAGAGGAGGTGCAGCTCAGTAAAGAAAGATGCGGCAAGGGTCTTCTTGCCAAGGCAGATGCTATCAAGCCCCCAGACCCCAAAGAAACCCACCCCGGAAGATGGAAGGAGCTGACGAAAGGGTCACTTTTACCCAGGCGAAATTGCTCGGATCCGTTCTGAGTTGGAGACCCAGCAGAGCGCAGATCCCCTGGAGGGGACAGGCTTGCCCCGTTATCTGAAAACGGTTCAATCCTGACAGGCCAGAAGTGGGCCAGGTTCTCGGGCATTTTAAGCGCAGCCAATCCTCCTGGCTGGTCCAGGTGACCCAGGAGGGGACCTGGGGTAAGTCTGAAGGACGGTGTATTCCCAGCACCCTTTCAAGAGTCGCAGCTACACCCCCTTCTCAAGAAGCCTTGCCTGTACCCACCCTGCCATTCTGGATAATGGCCACTCAGCCTCTCGCCTCCCCTTTCTAGGGAAGGGGGCTGTCTTGCAGCTCCACGGGATGAGATGGATTATCTGCATCCCTTCCAGACAGGTTTCAGACCCAGAAGCGGGAGACTAGCAATACTGGTCAAACCTCTGGACGGCCTCTGGTGGGGATAGGAAGAAGGCAGCATCTCTATCCTGGCCCTTCTTCGTGGCTTGTCAGCAGCCTTCAATACCATCGACCATGTTTGGGCGTTTTTTTGGGGGGGGGCGGCTTTGGGAGCTGGGGGCAGGCGCCAGAGTTTTGTGCTGGTCTGCCTCCTTCCTCGGAGGCTGGTCTCGGTTGATGGGGAGCGAGAGGTGCTGCCCACGGCCCAAGCTCTTCTGGGGGCTGCAGAGCCCTCACTGCTCTCTCCACGAAACCTCTGGGCAAGACCACCCCTCAACCTCAGGAGGCAGAGGATACCCACTGTGCATCTGTGCCTGGCAAACAAAGTGATGCGCTTGGAGGCTCTGGGGGCTGGATGTGGTGGGTCAGGCTTCCCACTAAGATGGAGGTGGGGACCCTCTTCTGTTTCTGGAGGCTCGCCGTCTCTGGTTCTGAACGGGATTGCACTGCCCCAGACGGGTCAGGTGTGCGATCTGGGGGACTTCCTGGACTCACAACTCCCTCTTGGGGAGCAGGTGCCAGTTGTGGCTAGGAGGGCCTTTGCTCAGCTTCATGCTGTGTGTCAGTTATGCCCCTTCCTGGACCGAAAGGCTCTTCTTTCTGTCCTCACTCCTGCCCTGATCACCTCCTGTATAGATAGCTGCAATGTGGCTGCTCTGAAGAGTATCCAGAACCTGCAGCTGGCGTCACGATTATTATTATTATTATTATTAATTTAATTTCTATACCGCCCTTCTCCCGCAGGACTCAGGGCGGTGCACAGCATATTAAAACAGATACACATATCAATAAAAATAAAAACCCCTCTAAAACCAAATTAAAACCAAATATTCGAAGCTGTGTTCCAATTAAAATTATACTTAAAATCGTCCCTAAATAAAATCCTCCTT